ACTCACTAAACAACCAAATGGAACAATGGAAAGTGGGTCCTTATTAATTAGCTTCTCTGCTTGCTTTGTGCTAAACAGAAGGCATAAATTTTCTCAATCCCTCCTTCGTGTGTGTATGGTAACAATGGAACAATGAGATCGTTATTATAGCATAAAATCATACTGTAAGTTTTCACCAATATCAAAGATGTCACAAAAGTTAATGTATTAAATAAATTTAATAAACAGAAGATGCTACTACAACATTTCATCACAAAGAAATTTAAGTGCTACCAACCAATGAAGCTTAAAGTTACAAACGGATAATATAATATTTAAAAAAAAAAACCATAGAATTTAACAGATAGATATATAGAGTTATATTATTTTTGTTTCATAAATTTTATCTTTATTGTTTAAAAAAGGTAATATATAACTCATGAAAGGGAGTATTTTTACTTAAATTAAATTTGCACGACGAATAGGGAAATAAGAGATTTTCGGAATAATAACACAATGATTTATCTTGTAAATGTAAATTTTCTAATGTGTTAATGATAAAGTTGTAATTATAGTAAAAATAATAAGAATGGTTTAATAAGATAATTTATGGGATGACAATAGCATCACTCTTTAAGAAATGAGATATAACCCATGCAAAAAGACCAAAATAAGTATTTTCAAAATAATTTTTTATCTACTATTAATCATATTAAAATTTAATTCTTTTAAATAGAAACTTTAAAATTTTAAAAGTTGAAAACTGGTCGACAGTGGCTAGTTGCCGTCACCAATGAATTTGTAGACGAGAAGTAGTTTGACACCGTTGGCACGGTTGTACTCGCCAGCCGACAATTTATCAACCGTGTCAGTGGTGTTGTCAAATACTACCTTGTTTTTCGGTAATAGGCAAGGAAAGTTTCAGCTAAACTTTGCTAGTTCGCTATAGCAAAACACCGTCATTTTTTACGATTGTTGGTACGGATGCATAGATTGCGGATTGACGAGTGCAATAGTGCCAGTGATATCAACACAATTGTCGCTGTTGGTAGCCGACCATCGTCGACAATAACTGGCCAACGATTCCATCGACCAATTTCCAACTTTTCTATTTAATTTAATAAAAACTATATTATATAATTTTATTTTATTTCGGGGTATATTTGTAAATAACCCTCCCAAAAGCAGTTTTTGAAATCTAAAATAGATTATGCAACAATTTAATTCTCCTATGATCACTTTTGAAATATGTTTACCAATCTTTCGGGACGGTAATACTAAGGAGTGAGTGGAGGCTCATGCCCCCATTGACCTTGGAAAAAACTCAATTTGTACCCTTCTACTATGTGTTGTGACATTAGCACCCATTTATTTTATTTAGCAAAGTAGCCTGAAATCCCAACATTATCACTACCTTTTATTTTATTTTTCTCAAATTTTAAATTTATTTTAATTTTCTTTCTTTTAATGTATTAAAAAGTCGATTTTTCATGAATAATTTTCTTATATGTAAATTTTTTTTCTTTGCCCCCTTTGAAACAAATCCTGGCTCCGTTTTCGCCAAACACATTTAGAGTAATAGCTTATGAAATAAGTGATTTTAGGAGAAACTACAATAATCTCAAACTCACCATTGTGAGCTGACCAATTATGAGTTGATACGTCGCGTTTGTGAAAGAAAGTTAGTGAGAAGAGTTTTGTGAGTGTAGTATTACTGTTCTTTGAGAATAATGATAGGTTGACAAACACTTCTTACAACTTTCTCTCACAAACGCTAACGTGCCAACTTACAATTGGTCAATTCACATTTAATTAGGTGGGACCCATTATTGGACAGACGAGACATATTGCGAGCTAACCAATTACAAGATGACATGTCACGTTTGTAAGAGAAAGTTAGTGAGAAGAGTTTGTGAGTGTAATATTATTGTATTCTTTAATCATCCTTAAAATTCATGGATAATACAAATATATTCTTCTTTTGCCTGTTCAAATCCATGCTTTTATTATAGTAAGAAACTTTAATTTAGTAGAAATATAGAGATGAATTTCTGTAAATTGGATTGATACCCATACTCTGTTTATTTAAACAATCAAATTATTGACTTTGCTTGTAGAATGCCTGTTTGTAACCCCATAAATGAGTAGTTGCACAGCTCTATTAATACACACACACACACACACACACACACATAGAGAAAAAGATGGCCGCAATGTCCCAAGTTAGGGGTGAGCATGGGTAGCGGGTAGAACCGAAACTTGCAAGTAGAACCGAAACTTGCAAGTAGAACCGGAACTTATCCAGAACTGACACTGTGCGAGTAGGTTCCGGTTCCATTTTTTTGTAACCGATATTGAGCTGTTCCGGTTTCGGTTGCTACATGTGGAGGAACCGGAATCGGAACCTGGAAAAAAGAACCTGCAGCGAGTACCCTGTTTTGGAACCTAGGCTGAAATTAAATATCTGTGAAGAATGGGGGATCTATTATAATTTTACAAATAAAAAAATTAAAATGGAAGAAGTTAATTTTTTACAATAACCTAATTAAATAAATATACAATTATACTTAAGTTTATATAAAAAACTTTAATATATTATAATATATTAATATTAAAGTTTTAATTAATTAAGTGTATAATTGGAATTATGACCAATTAAAAGTGTTTAATGTTATTAAAAGAATTATTTTTGAATCACATAATATATTTGATTGAATAATAATATAATATTTAGTTATTTACTTCAATTATCAAGTTCTAAGTATATCATTACATTATAGTTAAATGATTACTTAATTAATTATACGTTTATAACATTACATTAGTAATTTAATACATTATTTAGTTAAATAATTATAACATTACATTATAAATTTATAGTATAATTACTTAATTAATTATAATATTACATTATAAACAAATGATTACTTAATTAATTATAACATTTCATTAAAAAAACTAGTACAATACATAATTAAATAATTAGAAATTTAATTAATTATAATATTACATTAAAGATTTATAGTATGATTACTCAATTCATTATAACATTAAATTATAGTATGATCACATAATTAAATGATTACTTAATTAATTATGGCATTATATTATAAACATTAGTAATTTACTACATTAGAACAATACTTAATTAAATGATTAGAAATTTAATTAATTATAACATTATATTATAAATTTATAGTATGATTACTTAATTAATTATAATATTACGTTATAAACAAATGATTACTTAATTAATTATAACATTCCATTATAAACATTAGTATAATACTTAATTAAATGATTAGAAATTTAATTAATTATAATATTACATTAAAGATTTATAGTATAATTACTTAATTCATTATAACATTATATTATAATTTGATCATGTAATTAATTATAACATTACATAATTAAATGATTACTTAATTAATTATGACATTATATTATAAACATTAGTAACTTCCCACATTAGCACAATACTTAATTAAATGATTAGAAATTTCATTAATTATAATATTACATTATAAATTTATAGTATGATTACTTAATTAATTATAACATTCTATTATAAACATTAGTACAATACTTAATTAAATGATTAGAAATTTAATTAATTAAAACATTACATTATAATTAAATAATTACTTAATTAATTATAACATTACATTATATTATAATCACTTAATTAATTATAACATTAAATAGTTAAATGATTAATTGATTAATTATAAATTTATAACATTATATTATAAACATTAGTAATTTACTATATTAGTACATTACTTAATTGAATGATTAAAAATTTAATTAATTATAACTAGAGCTGGGCATTTGGGACAGAGCCCAAAAGCCCAGCTCCAAAACCCGGTCCTAGGACCGGTCCTTAAGAGGACCGGACCTAGGAGGCCTTGTCCCAAAACGGGACCAGGCCTAAGGAGGAGGGCCCGGGCCCAAAAAAATTTGTATTTTTTCAATATAATCCCCTGCCAAATTACATAAAACCCCCTATTAATTTTAAAATAAATATAAATTATGAGGGCTAAAATAAAATTTTACAAAATTTATAAAAAAAAAGTTCTTCTAGGTCAAAAAAATTTATAAAATTTATAATTTTACCCTAAAAAATACTAAAAACCCCCTATAAAATTTTGTTTTGCCCCCAAAATATAAAAAAAATTGAGGGGGGAAAAAAAATTATCCAAGCCCCATGGGACCAGTCCTAGGATCGGTCCTGGGCCCATGGGACCAGTCCCGACCAGGCCTAAGGCCTGGTCTGGGTCCTGGTTTTTCTCATGGGCTTGGGACCAGTCCCAGGCCCATGAGTGACTGGTTCCACAAGGGACCGGTCCCTGCCTACCTCTAATTATAACATTACATTGTATATTTATAGTATGATTACTTAATTAATTATAATATTCTATTATAAACATTAGTACAATGCTTAATTAAATGATTAGAAATTTAATTAATTATAATATTAAATTATAGATTTATAGTATGATTGTTTAATTAATTGTTTGTGTTTTGGTTTTGATTGAAAAATTTTATGTAAATTGTAATGAATTGATTGAATTCAAGTGTTAGAGATTAAAGGATTTATAAGTNATAAACATTAGTACAATACTTAATTAAATGATTAGAAATTTAATTAATTATAATATTAAATTATAGATTTATAGTATGATTGTTTAATTAATTGTTTGTGTTTTGGTTTTGATTAAAAAATTTTAAGTAAATTGTGATGAATTGATTAAATTCAAGTGTTGCCTAGAGATTAAAGGATTTATAAGTCACATTGGACATAAATGAATGAGTAATCAAAATTTGTTAAAAGTGTATTTATAAACTTTTAAGGTATTTTTATCATTTTTTAAACTAATAGTAGGATAATTGAGTTTTTATAGGCTACTCAGGGAGGAAACTAGAATCTGTGTTTTAGATTTCGGTTTCTTGAATTTAAGAATCGGCATTGTACTATTCCGATTCTGATTCCCTCAAAAAATGCTGTGTACCTAACCGCTTACCCCTATCCCAAGTCCTAACCACCATAAACATTTGATAAAGTTTGCTTGTACTATTTTAATATATTTATTCCTCCATCAAGAAATTCCTTATTCTATTATGCAAGTTTGATAACATGAATAATGTGCTCTTTGTCCAATTTATTTGGTGTTTTCTGAATTTTTAACACCTGCAAGCTCTCTTGTTTCTTGAAAATTTCGTGATGACGCCATGGTGAATTCGATCTTTATTCAAGGTGGAAGCCAATAAAAAATTGATGTGAATGTGTGTATTTTCATTTTTCAATCGTTGTTGAGATGGATGATGAAAGGCTTGTATACTCGCTTGATAAAGCCTTTACTTATGTGGGGTTTGGGAAGTTTCAAGTTGTTGTTCTTCTTTATGCTGGACTTGGATTGTTTGCAGAAGCTATGGAAGTTATGATTCTGTCTTTTATAGGACCTGCAATTAAGTCAGAGTGGAGAATTTCTCCAGCACAAGAATCGCTTTTAACAACTGTTGTATTTGCTGGCTTGCTTCTTGGTACATATTCATGGGGCTTTATATCTGATAACTACAGTATAAGGCAGGCCTTTTTACCGTTAATCCTCTTTGTTATATATGCTTTGTTGATAATAATGTTGATATCTTATTTTCTTTTGTTATATATGAAGATAATGTGCTAATTAAAAAATTTATTTGTTAAACTTTTAGGGCCTCCTTTGGGTAATCCGATAGTATTTTATTTCTTTGTTGCTGGGAGAGTAGAAAAAGAATAGCATATTTTGTGCAGGTGCTGGTGCCATATTAAATTTCTGTTAGTCCGCTATTAGTGTTCCCCTGTGCTTTTGATCACTTGGCAAGCTTGGTTCTAGTTGACTTATTCATTTGCCCTTTCCAGGAAGGGCTTTCTTGGTGGAGCTTTGGTAGCTAGTGTTATTGGGTTAATGAGTGCTTTCTCCCCGAACTATATAACATTGGTGACTCTCCGTGGTTTGGTTGGTTTTGTCTAGGCAGCGGGCCTGTACATGTATCCTGGTTTCTGGAGTTTGTTCCTGCTTCCAATAGAGGCGTGTGGATGGTTGCGATAGAACTTTTCTGGACACTTGGAACAATATTTGAGGCTTCACTGGGATGGGTTTGTTCCTTCATCTGTTTTTTTTCTTTTCAAATCTGAGATCAGCTACTTGTCTCTGGTTTTACTATTAAGAGACTTAACCAAGCTACTTGTCAAAATTAACATCTCTAGTTATACAAAGTAATATGTAGTTGTTGATATACAATGAACTTACGCTCTCTAGTTATCTATCCCTATGTTTTGTATCATCAACTCTATCCAGACATATACAAGTTTTTTCCAATATTTTTGTCTTTGTTGTTTCTTGATTTAGCTTGTTAGCAGATTAAAATTTGTTTTTTCCATTTCCATTTTTATTATCGATCAGATGGCTTTAAAATTTGAAAAGTTGGAGTACAAACTTTTAACAGTTTTTCTGGGAGGGGCTGTTTCCTTTTTGTTTCAAATAGAACTCTCGATCTGTGTGAATTCAATTTCGACCTTATTTTTTGGTAACCATTCAATTTTGACCTTTGTTGTGCTTAGAAGATGATATTGTATTCCTTGTTACTTGAAGCAATTATTTGTCAAATTGTGTAATGTGCGATCTATTTACTTCTAGTTCTTAGTCAGTTGCATATAACCCCTTGTAAATTTAAGTAACATGGTGTAAAGATTTTGAATGCTTCTAAAATCTTTAATATGTGTATAATCTGTCAGTTTGAATTTTGTTTCTCAGAATATGGAAGTTATCTCTCTTAATTTATGGAATTAGTTAAAAAATGATATGTTAGTGACTAGGACTGGAAGGACTCAGCACAAAACTTCAATTTTTTTATTTTTTCTTATTTGCAGATTGTGATGCCAAGATTGAATTGGAGGTGGCTACTAGCCTTGTCCTGCGTGCCAACATTTGCTGTGCTTCTTTTGCAAGGTCTAGCACCAGAGTCTCTAAGGTATCTATGTATGGGTGGTCAAACTGCTGATGCTCATCATATTCTGGAGAAAATAGCTCTGAAGAATGGGAATAATCTTCCCTCTGGAAGGCTCTTACCTGATAACATTGCTAGGCTAGATGATGAATTTGTTGTTCTTGCTCTCTTCATCTGCAAACAAAACCACAGAAGTGAAATCTGGATTCTCTCCAATTTCTAGGCTTTTTTCAACAAGATTAATTAGAACTACCTTTCTGCTATGGGTATTATTCTTTGCATATTCATTCTTATATTATGGGGTTATATTATTGATATCAGAGCTAAGTATCGAGCAAAGTAAATGTGGCTCAGCACTCTCAGTTTTGCAAAATGCAAGGGATGCAAGTCTATATATTAATGTATTTATCACTAGTTTTGCAGGTAATGCGTGTTGGATGGTTACTTCTTGTTCATGTTCCTTGCAATTGAGTAAACTGTTATTACTTTTAACGGACTGATGTTTCAGTAGTTATTAACTTAAAAGGTTCTTTTGCAGAGCTTCCTGGGCTTCTTTTATCTGCAGTAATTGTGGACAGAGTTGGTCGCAAGATGTCTATGACAATTATGTGTGTTTTGACTTTCATATTCCTCATACCGTTGGTTATCCATCAAGGTGTTACTTTAACTACAGGATTATTATTTGGAGCTCGAATGTTTGCCAATGGTTCCTACTAGGGGTGTTCGGTTCGGGGTACCCTACACTTTTTGAAGGAACCAGAACCGAACCGAAACGACGGTTCTTTGAAATTTGGAACCAGAACCGGAACCGACAGTTCGTTCCTAGGTACCCAGAACCAAAACTTAACAACGGTTCCGGTTCCGGTTCTGGTACCCATAAAATTCGACTCCCCAAAGTTTTTAAATGACAAAAAACCCTTAAAAACTTACAAAACCCCCACCTGGCACTTGTTAACAAAAATAAAATTACAAATTATAATTAAAATGACAAACTCCATTACTTTGTAAAGGTAGATTCTCAAAAGTCAAACACACTACTTTAAATGTTATGAAATATAAATATAATGTATTCACATTACTTTTTCTACAAAAGTTTTTATTAACCCCCTAATTTTAATTTTATTTTATATTAGTCTCGGTTCCTGGTTCCTGGTTCCGGTTTTCTGGTTCCTAACTATAGGAACCGGAACCGTACAGTAACAGTTCCAAAAATTTGAACCGGAACCTACCATTGACGATTGGTTCGGGTAGGAACCAAAACCAAACCCAGGTACCTACCGGTTCTAGTCCAACCAGTTCTTTTGAACACCCCTAGTTCTACATGTTGACTGCATCTATCCGCGAGAGGTTTTCCATTAATTTCCTTAGAACTGTTTATGACAGCCCATATGTAACACAGCAAGCTTTCATGTGTATAATATTCACTAACAGATCTTTTTTAATATTCAGTATTTTTCTTTCTTAATCTTCTAATAAGTGTGTTTGAGTAGCTTTGCCATTCCATACAAGAAAGATATTTGTACTACAATGCCATAGATAACACTGAAATATATGCCTTGGCATTAATATCATATAAAGTTACCAATTTATGACACCACCAATATATTTTTCTATCCCTTAACTTTTTACCCTTTTCTTGTTTGTGTGTTTCTTCTTTTTGTAGGTATATCCAACTTCTTTGAGGGCAACTGGATTAGCCTAGCATATGGAGCTGGAAAAAATTGGTGGAAGATATGCCCTCTTGTGGCATGGGGTTAGTGACTGGTTGCCATCAATCACTTCTTAATCTCTTCGAAGTTGTAACTTTTCTTTCAATAGTATGTGTACTATTGTTCCATTTGAAACTAAGGAACGAGAACTGGCTGTACTGTGTACATAGCTTTGATTTGATGTCATCTCATATAAGTAAGTTTTTATGATTTGCTCATCAATATCATATCTGATTTATAATTCAAGCTTTCAAGATTTACATAGCAAATAGGTTGGAGATGGGGATCACATTTAGTAGGGATAATTGGTAAATTGATCACTTTTCAAGGAGTTTAATGAATGTGACCCATCTTTCGATCTCCATTTTGAATACTGAACTAACATAATATATGAAACTACCCTGTAACAATCAAAATGGGCATAACTCTTAAAATGGGCTTGTAAGGGAGTGTGTCCGTGTGGTTATTAACCCAAATGCTCAGCCCACTCTTTAGCTATGCAGAATTCGATTAGGTCATTTCGTACCCTCGCATCTCTTGTCTATACACAATCGTGGATCTAGTCAGAAAAAACAAGATCGACGCATGACCGGCTAGTTTAGCCAGTCGTGTCATTCCGACGATCGACGGCCACTACCCAGTAGTGGTGGTCGACTGTCGATAGTTGATTGGATGAGTGGGAGTTTTTGCACTTTTATAATTTTTATTGTTGGGTTGTGTTTAGGTAAATTACCAAATTGAGGAGTTAAAAATATTTAATATTTTCAAAAAATGTTTTCTAATATTACCGAACATATCTCAGAATCCTATCCTCAAATATATTCAGAATAGGATTTTAAAAATCTTATTCAAAAAAGTATACAACGCAACCTTAACTTGTGGATTTGAAGGCTTATTGAGAAGCTAGTTCATTAAAGCAAAAAAAAAAAAAAAAAAGGCAAAGTTGGAATTTAACCTTAAATGAAATTATAGATCAACAACGTGATTGAAAGAAGAGTGATGCTATTGGGCCCGATAATTTATCTTAATAAATCGCATTAATTTTTAAGCATACCAAATGTCTAAGTAAACGGATGTTACTCTAGCTTGGAGGGAAACTTACTACAATAATACTACTAAGTCACCTTTATAAAGGCTCATTTCGCAAGTTTACTCATTCTAAACTTACGCACTTTAAACGTAAAACACTTTTTTATATTCTCTCTTAGGTGTTTAAACCTAAGCATCTAAGTGTTCATCTCAACAATCTACTTGTATAAATGTAGTAAACTAGACATAGGCCTGCACGTTCGGATACGTTTACTCAATGTTTTTGAAATATATTGTAAACAAATTTATTATAACAAAATAACTAATTAGATTATACATAATATTGTTAAATTATACAAAATTTTAAAGTAAATATAAATTGTATATTATACAAAATTGTGTTAGATAAAATTAATAATTGTACCTATATATTATTAATATAAATTTACGTAGATGTCATTAATCATTCATTCAGCTTAAGAAGATTACCTGAATATTATATGTCTAATTATTTTTAAGATCATCACCTTGTACATTAGTATTATTTTTGCAGACATGCCTTTGACATTCAATGTCAATATTTTGTAGTGAATCGTGTATTTATTTATACACTTGAATATATCAAGATCAACTATTAAACTTAAAATTTATATTAACCTTCTGCAATTTTTGTAACTTATATTTTTTCAAGTTGCATTACACTATGTTTATTATTATTTTTTTACATTATTATTGGTTTTTTTGTGGTTTAAATTATATTTTATACATTGAAATTCATTTTATATTGAATTGATAATTAAAAAATCAATAAATAAAATTTACAAATTGAACTCAAAGTATATATCATCATTATTTTTCTCAAATATGTAACCTTTGACATCAACAACAAAGTTTAAACTTTGTCAAGAAAAGCAAAAAAATGCAGGATAATCCTAGGTATTATTGAAAGTCTATAAATCAATAAGAAAAAAGAAACTTTGTTGAAAAATGTGAACTTTTAAGCAGAGACTTGCAAAACCAAAGGAAAAACTGATTTTAATTGCAGAGAAGAGAAATTATTTTATTATTATTATTTATAAATAAAAAAATTAAGAATGTTAGAAGAGAACTCACATAGAAAGTAACACAACTCCAACAGTATAATCTGAAGGCAATTAATTGAA